ATCCTCCTGGAAAACAGCCTTCTCCAGGAGGAAAAAATAAGCATCCCATGCGTTTGAAACTCACGCCTGATGCCTGGAGCTGCTGCGGGATCGGATCCCCGCTTTGGTTCTTCCCATCCCGTGTCCCCCCCTCCTCCTCCTCCTCTTTGAGTTCGTTTGGTGGCCGAAGAGCTGCGAAATGGGGGGGGGGGGGGGGGGGGGGTCAAGGCAAAGTGGCTTTTTGGAGCTGCTGCCACGAAATGGCTCCCTGCTGGTGGACATGTTGGGCTTGTGCCTTGTGAGCGGCAGTTATTAATTTAAATGCGAGATCAAATGTCAGTGTCCTTTGATTCTCGCCACACTGACTGTACCCTCCAGAGCCTGCCTCAGTCTTCATCTTGTTAAAGAGTTCCTGTTAGTTTAACCATAAGGTAATAACTGTGTTTAATATTAAACTAACAATGTAGTTCAAATAAGCTGATGCATATTCATGTTTGGGAGGCAACTTCATTCCTCGGTAATGACTCATCAAATGTAAAATCGGGCATGTTAGCTTCTAATTAAAAAGGCTATTCACGAAGCTAAAACCAAACTGGCTTTCACAATAAACTAATCGCTAGGATTTTGAAGCCTCAGCTGCTTGAGAAATATTTCTACTTAGGCCTGGAAAATGGGAAGGTGACATTTGAAAGACGCTCCGCGGCACGAAAGCCTCAGCTGGTTCCAAATTCCTCGAGTTCCTGCTGCATCTGTTGAGGGCAGAAGTGCTCAATCTTGGCTGCTAAAGCTTTAAACTAACTGACAGATGAGAGCTACTGTCAGGACGCTGCCCTTGGGTTGTGCAAGGCCAGCAAAGCTCGGCGCTGTTGAAAGCCCGGTGCGGTGCAGCATCAGATGTTCTGCCAGCTATTACTGTTTAGTTCCACGAAACTGAAGCCATTTAGTGTCGGGGCTGCTGAAAAGGATGTTGCCACTAGCGACTTCAAACACTCAATAACTGAGGGCTGTAATTCTGACCAACCGCGCTGGCGGACCCTGTATTTAGGGCTGACTAATCTGAAACAAGTAACCTAAAAGGCAGTTATTTATCGCATGCTCTTGTTGTTGTGGGAGGTGGGAAGCGGCGGGTCAGGGCGCAGGCAGGGTTTGCTCGCGCCTGGCTGTCAGAGCCAATTATCTGAACCACACGTAACGTGAGGTGCTGTTTTGGGAAGCAGGTCAGCAGCTGCCTAACCCTCTAAATATCCAACCCTCTGGGGAAAGCGCATACCTGAACCCACTGGCTGCAGCTGGGGAGACGTGCTTCAGGTTGAGACTGGCGGGCTGAAGCCCGCTGGCCTCAGAAGCGGCAAGGCTCTCTGCTCCCTGCTGCTCTGCAGGTTGGAGCTTTTTGGGGTGATTTGGGATGAGACTGACTCGAGCAGTTGGCTTGTTGGGGGTTTTCCCCCCCTTTTCTGAATACATCTCGCATGGGCGGACCCGTAAACCTGGGGAGCTCCAGTAAGCCTGAAGCTTACGGGTCTGAAATGCTGCAGGTCCCGAGCCGTGCCCAGAAAGGGGTTAAGCAGATGCTCTTTGGGGCTAGGAAATTAATCTGGAATGAGATCTTCTCCAAGCACTGGTCCTAGCTCTGCATCTAACACTTTTGTGACCTATATCTTGTCTTGCTCTGAGCCTAATAGCGCAAAACTCTTAACTCCACGAGTAGCGCTGGAGCCGTGCCTCGGGTGAGCAACTCCGGTGACTGATCAGCTGGCAACAACCACACACCAGGAACTCCCTTGGATCGACTGCCTGATATTTATCCTGGGGGGGGGGGAATAACCCAGTGCCTCTTTTTAGGAGCAAACTCAGTTTTCAGGCTGTCTCCCTCTGATAACGACTGTGTTTGTGGCCGGATTGGATGTGCTGGTGGGGACTTGGGACTTCCGATGGTGAATAGCTCACTGGTTAACTGCTGCCTGACACGTGACTGTCACCATTCGGTTGGCAAGGAGCCCGGGCACGTTTCTAGCCTGAGCAGCGGTGGCTCACGTCAGGGAGGAATAGGGGAAACACCAGCAGAGAAGCTGCATCGTGAGATTTAACAACCTCCGAGCTTAAAAACATTCATCGGCTTGTACCAAGATACCTTCTGTTTGCAAGGGCGCCCTGGGGCAGCGGGAGCTCGCTGGTGGGGCCTCTTAGCTTGGTCACCGAGAGCTCTGTGGCATGCTGAGGGTTGCATGCTGCGGCCCTTCACCTTTACGAATTGTTTCTTCCAAAGCGAACTCGCGGAGGGGCAGTTTTACAGCTGCGGAGACTCACTGAAACTGCGATGCTCCGGTGTCCCCAGAACTGTCCGCTCAGGGCCTTGTCAACCCAGCATGGGTTTCGGCCCCTCGGATAAAGCTTTGAATTTCAGTGGTGCCTCTCTTGAACTGGGACGGCCTCGCGGGGCTGAGAAGCCCGGTCAGACTGGCTTCTGGTGATAGAACTTGTCCGTTTGTATCCCAAGCTTTGGCTCTTTCAAGCTCTAGCCTAGCTTCGAGCGCCGGGCGAGCAGGCCGGCTAGCCTGGACTCACAGGACGGTGGGTAATTGCTAGAGAAACATGAAAGCAGGATGAGAGATGGGAAGAGCTTCTGGTGGAAGATGTGAGCTTAATCTCCCTGGGATCTTTGAGCTCAGTTAAACTCAAATTATAAGCTGGTGTCCAGATAGTTTATTTTATGGTCTTGGGGTTATGTCAGCCTCCTGCGTGTTAAGTAATCAGGCAAGTGATTCAGCTTCGCTCTAAACGAACAAAGCTTTGGCGGTACCGGTGGGTGTGCCAGGACTGAGCAGGCAGCATTAAAATCACTGGAGTAACACCCGTAAGATGAAAGCTGCCTCTTGTGCTTGATAGCATGCCAAGTTCAGCATGAAGCTCTGACACACTGGAAATTGTTAGGATACACTTACTAGTTAGGACATGAACTTGCAGATGCCTGGCTGGGGCTTTTGAGCAGTTCTGGCATCTTGATTTGCCTTTAATGAATCTTGACAGGCAAAGGGGATGGCTAAAAGGAGCGAGCCACCCCGATTAAATCAACAAGGACTGCCGCAGACTGTGCTGCCGCCTTGCATTTGGAGTCCTTTTTGGATCGGCTGGTCTCAGCTTGATGGCTGGAGAGGCCGGCTGCAACCACGGGGGGAGGAAGGGGGCAGAGACCGCCCCAAAGAACGGGTTCCGATAAC